GAGGGCACCTGCGAGGGCGCCGCGCGCTGCTGCGCTCACCCTCTCGCCCAGCGCCCTGGCTCTGGACGCCAGCTCCTCCCTCTGGGCCCGACTCTCGGCCAGCTCTTCCTGCAGGAGGTGCACTTCCTGCCGCAGCTCCGCCCTCTCCCGCTGCCAGCCCATCGGCGGCTGCGAATCCGCGGCGGCCATCAGCTGAAACTCGGCCAAGGCCGCTGCCGTCGCCACTGCGGCGCGTGGTGGTGTTGGCTCGCCAAGTGCCGCCTTGAGATGCGAGTGTCATCTGTTCGGCGAGCACGTCACGTTTCAAAACCCTTACATCTCAAATTGTCGTTATCACATTACAACGCACAATTTACCGTGCAATTTAAGACGCTAAAGTGTGAATTTGATCACATTGTCGCGCAAGCGCCACTTAGGGCCTGTGGTCTGTAGTGCGCAAAGTTTCCCTCATACCGCAAGACAAATAAATCGAATCGACGAGCGAAAGCTGACATCTTGCGAAAAACTGGTGAAACTACACTTGAATCGGTCTCTCGATTTGTACTGGCGTACAAACACGTGAACCGTACACCCTTTCCTTCTCATTTACCCGTCCAAAGTTAAACTCATCAGTCTCAAAAAGACGCAGATTCAACGACCAAAATAAAAGAAAAGTGATGCAAAGAAGCCCGCCCGCCAAAGGGGTCGAACGGCTAAGCAGCGGCATGCGAAGCGGTAGTCGTACAGGGAATGGTTTTCTTCAGATAAAAAAAACAAGCATCTACCTGGAGGAGGTATTCTCTTGTTGCTTTTGTGTTGTCAACTTATTCAAATGAGGCGGGCAACGAAACCTTTCAACCCTGGCGACGACGCGCGATGATGACGTTCACAAAACAGCAAAACGACATACGGGATCGCAACCGCTTTTAACATGAGCTCCTGCCATCGATTACATTTATTAAATTCAACAATTATTTAGACCCCAAAAAGACAACGTCGATTTTAAGCCGCGCCTTTATGGTAAAGTCTGGTGAAAGTCGCAACCATTGGTCTTTGGCTGCCGCTCTCTGCAGGTACCGGATGTACGGTCCACCGGCCGCCACATCGACTCGGTGTTGTCCGATTAATGACGTCATGCTATGGCAAATCCAATAGGTCAAAGGCTATTACACCCCACTGAAGAGTCAGGGATGCTACTGTGTTCTTTATGAGCGTTTGTTCGTACAATTTGTACATTTAAAGTAAAACAGACAATAACATCAAACTTTACTTACTTTCGTGATTGCCTCATTATTTAAGAATCAAGAAATTGCCCTTCTTAGCGTTTATTCTTTCAATGTATATTGAGGCTCGAATATTTCTATATTTAGAATGCCGAGAATTACAAGCAAGTGACTGTACCGTAGTGTTGAGCTCTTCGTTGAAAAGATCCATCCATCTTGATTAGAAATGATCAATTACGGTATACTTCAATTAATGGGGCATAGTCTGGGATTGTGTATTTATCGGACCAAATAAATTAGTTCCAACATTTGTATTAGGGGGAAAAAAATACATCTTGTAATTAATAGTATTATTCATCAAAAGCAGCGATCTCCCACCATCGAATCAAAACATTTAGCATACACCCCGCACGAAAAAAATCTCATTACAAGTTCATTCTACCAGCTGTGGCTGCAAATTTCACATTTTGATTTTAAAATGCCCGAAACTATTAATTCATTAATTAAACTCACATTGTTTATAGGAGTGGTGTTGGAAATCCTCTGTCGTAATCAGTGATTTTTTTCGCAAAATTGCCCAAAGAACCTCAATCCAATTTCTGCAACACACACCAACCACAATCTTCTGAACAACATTTGGATTGTTTCTTTGTTTATTGTACAACATACTTGTCAAACAGTCAAATGACACCGCGATGGGAGTCGGCGATGAAGTCAAGTTGCACTCAAGATTGTTTTTGGAGGAAATAATGATTCAAATCCACACACTGTAAATTATGGCTGCCTTGAATGCCGTTCTTCCTTAGCCAACTTCAACTCGTACAAGGATGCCAGAAGTAGCCAAGGAAAGAACATTCCAACTACCCTCCACGAGTGTGCTAAATTGTCTTACGAGTCAGGACCTGAAGCAGGATATGAAGCACACGGAAGAAAAGCACAAACGGATTTCCGTAGAAAAAAAATACCTCCCAATGTGAGCGAGTCATCAGCTGGCAACTTCCCTTTGAGTCTTCTGCAATGTCATGTGATTCTCTTACATGGCCAATGAGTAGGCAGGAGTGGAGGGCTCATGATGTGACATCACTTCCTGATGGTGGGACTTGGGGTCAGCTATTCTAAGGATGGTGGTGCAATCAACCGTCACGTCGCTGTCACGGACCGAGGCAAAGCTGTCCATGCTGCTGCGTGCGTGAGTGCATGTGTACACACGCGTGCGCACACACACACACACACACACACACACACACACACGGCAGTGGGTGCTGAGGTCACACTAAAGGCCCAGGGACTTGCGTACGATCTTCTGAGCCAGTTTGTAAAAGTGATCCCGGTCCTCCCGCCACATTTTCGAGGCGTCCACGTTGGCGCCGCTTTCGTCATTTGGCTCTGTGTGAGAGAGAAAGAGACAGAGAGAGACACACACAAGAGGGGAATGACTGTGATCAGTTTCCATGGTGACGTGTTTTTTGTGTCCAGTGCGGAAACTATCCCAGCCGTCTTCGGGAAGTAGGCGGGGGACACCCTGAACCGGTTGCCAGCCAATCACAGGGCAC